TTAGATCGAGTTCGGAAATGGGCATCATCGGTCCACTCGTTCTGGTACCTCCCCCACAAAAGGTCAACGTTTTTAATGAAAATAATTTACCTCGTAGGAAGAGAAAGGGTTATTCCATTTTGTGTAAACTCTTCAATTCCCAGTATTTTTATCAGTGCTAGGCCAGGTGCAACATGTCGGATATTTCTCGGACTTTGCGATCTCTGTTATTGTATTCAGTAGTAGCTTTTTACAACTATTATTTCGAAACAAAAGTATTTTTCCGTTACTATGGCTTTGTCATCCCGTTTGTAACTCCTCGAAATATTCATGATTGACCTTGCAAAGTACATATATTCTGGAGCAGCGAAAATTCTAAGACGATCTAGCGTTGTCAATCTTTTGTAATCACGCTATCTTTCGAATGAATTAAGATAGAAGGCTAAAAATTTTCACACATATGCATTTTGCCAGTAGGCAAGCCCTGTCGGTCCACATTTTCGTATATCCCCCAATATAACGGTATTTTTAACGGATTTTTTACGTGATTGTCTTTGGGAAATGACAATTTATGTCAGGTACTAAGCTTTAATATGATTATTCTTATTTTATTTGTTAATTAAATTATTCATATAGACTTTTTAGATGACAATAAGTTGTCGTATGATAAAAACTAGAAATGTTATTGGTAATTTTTAATTCGTGTTTTTTATAGTAGAGAGGGTTTTTAATTTTTTGTCTCATAGGTACAATTGCACTGAAGTTATGAATGCTATAAATGTTATAAACAACAGCAAATACTCCTATCGATTATCAATATTTGTGTTTCTAGAAGGTAGCACCATCTATGAGTACTACACACTATAGAAATAGTTGTAGAACAAAATCAACTGATGATTGGGATAAATTTGTTAGATTGACTTCAGTTGAAAGCCATTTTTTTTTTGAGCAAAATATAGGTCCTTACAATTAAAAAAATATATATGCTACAAACACATTTGGCAGATTCACTCCTCATTCACCACAACACAACACAACAGCAATAAAGCAATCACTTAATTCAGAATTTTTATCTTGACAACGAAAACTATTGTAAATTTATATTACTTCATCAACAATTTTAATTGGTAGATAATTGAGTGCCACAATATCAACTAAATGATCAAATATTAGCCGTGGTAACATTGCGTTTTTCCGCAATGAAATTACAGAGTCTATGACCCAGCAAAAATTCTTATTACCAATTTTTATCACGTCATTTTTGGCATCAGTAATTTTTGACAAACCACCACCACCCTTTCGTCCTTAGTTCAGCATAAACGTGTCATGGAAAGAAACTACCTTCCAGATAGTCAGAATCAAATTTCTTTTAAGTTTTTAAGTTAAGGTTTTTTTTAAATGTTTGCGAAGCTAACCTCAAATTTATTTTTAAACCCAAACATTTATTTATGCAAGCCACACACGATACAACTGGTTGTACAACTTGGAGAGTACTCGAATTGTGTGTTTCGGTCACTAACGATACAACTTAGTGTACAATTTCACTTTTCGTAGAGTTTATTTGAGTTAAGATGACACCGGAAAAAATGCATGCTCTATAATTGACTCAATATCTTTTATTTATTACTAACTTTTGAAATTCCATTTTATAAACTGAAATTTAATCTGTATATATAAAAATCAATTGTTGTTCGTTGGTAATGGAATCAGTTGAGAACGGCTGGGCCGATTTGCACAATTTTTTGTACAAACGTTCGTCATACCCCGATTTAGGTTTTTGAAGAAAAAATAATGACCACGCTTACTTTTACGCCCACTATTTCAATTTATCTAAAATCCTAATGTTTGCCAAATAATGAAAATATCGGCTTGAAAATTATTACACGAGATACTGTTCACCTTGCATCCAGTTCTAGCTATTTATTTGGCCGCTGAGGAACTGGCGTGGTCAGTACTTTTTAATCTATGTACATAAAACATTGTTCTTCGTTGGTAATTGAATCAGTTGAAAACGGCTGGAACGATTTGGATATTTTTTTAAATATTCGTTCTACCCCGAGTTAGGTTTTTATTCAAAGAAACAGTGACCCATTTTTTCCATTTACCTAAAATCCTTATATTTTCCAAAATCATAAAGATATCTGTTCTACAGTTAGTATATGACGTAATATTGACTCTCCCTCCAACCCTAGGTATCTGTTTGCGGTCAGAGGAACTGGCCACACCTACTTCTTTAAATCTATATGTAAAAAAATTTAAAAAGTATAGTAACACATAGTTGAGAACGGCTAAGCCGATTTGACTCAAATTTTCTTTTGGTTATTTGTAATTACAGTGGAAACGTTTTCATGAAAGAAAATGTTGAGAAAAGCCTCTATAAAAATAGCGGAAATGAAAACATTGACTTTTCTATTTTGATATGGAGTTTTGTGTAGAATGGAATTTAAAATTCTTATTGAAAAAAAAACGGAAAAAATCGGGAACTCTAGCATATTTTCTATACATGCCGTTATATGGTTGCCAAACCAAAATTTTCAATTTTGATTAAAAAATTCTTCTCAAAGCATCAAAACATTAAAAATCTCAACGTATTTTTAAATTGAGACTATTCTTAATGGGGAACTAATAGTAGCCAGTTATTTCCGGTATTGATTTCACAATACCGAAAACTTTAAATGTCAAGTTACAGATAATTCGGTAGAAATTGTAACAAAAACATGCAAAAGGACGAATTTTTAGTGGTATTATTATACCTAAACGAAACTGATATATTCTAACTTCCTAGGAATATTGTAGTTCAAAGATTAACCTTAAATATTTCGCCTTTATTGCGATTTCAACGATCGGCCGCATACACAGACGGATATAGTTTTATCGACTGGTAAAAACTAAATACTTTATAACATGATTTTCTAAAAGTTACGAATTCTAAAATTACTTTTGATTTGAAAACATTGCTAAGATCTTTATAATACTGATATTTGAGAATTGAAAATTTAATTAGATACGATGATATAACGAATATAAAGAGGTAATGGGGAATAGAAAATAAGACATAAAGTGGACTTTTTTTTGACTAGATATGGAAATAATCCATCCAATCAGAAGTTAAAATGCAAAATTCATTGGGAGTGTAATCAGTAAAATACCGAATATGAAGAGCACTGTTAAATGCGGACTATACAAAATAGTGGAGCATATTGAATATTTAGTAAGAAAAGGATTCATATCCTCGGAAAATTCTTCCGAACCCTTAAAAGTAACCTTAACTCACATGCAACGTTATACGAGGACTATGCGCTATCGTCAGTAGTTACACAGCCGGATATTACACTTGGAAAATTGTTCGGTTGGTAGATAAAAATCCCAAAAGGCGGGGGTAGAGGGGCTATTGAAAAATAGTTAATGTATACTTCTTTAATATATGTGATTTACTATTTAGGTTTTTAACTCTCAAATTAAAACCTCTGACTGAAAATAATTATGCTTTAAAAACTATGCGTTAAAGTCCAAAACTACGGGCCGGCAATGCGGACCGGGCCAGCTAGTTTTATATAAATTAAAATCACACATATGATTGGATTTCGTATTGTTTTGATGTGCGAAACAATGGTGTGTCGAAATACAAAATGAAATTGTATGCAACATGCTCACAAGCGTTACAATCGGCTGCTACAACATGCCAAATATCAAAAAATTAAATTTTTTGTACAACCGAGACACAACTTCGTACAAGCGAATTAGCGAACCGTACCGTTGACATATATATAATACTAGCTGAACCCGGGGCGTTTCGCCAATATTTTGACGTTTTAAAATAAAAGTGAAATAATGTCGATAATTTTGAAAACATATTAATTGTAATGTTTTAGGGTATACAATATTTCTTGGTTTTTCCTTCAGCAGCGTTAAGCAGGATCAGAAAAGCAGGATCATTCCAAATTTAGTCCGCATACCCGAAGAGTTAGTCGTTGGAAGTTATTAATTGTCATAGCATATGCCAAGCTTACAGGAAACTGCACTCTTTAAAAGTTGATCGGAATGTTTGTTGCTATTAGAGGGATTCGAGTTGGCTTTGTGGATCTTAATAAAAAATATCCGAATCTGAATCGGTTTCAATATAAATTGACAAAGTTAATTTTTAGATCAAATTCTGCCGCAAATTCGAAACGTTGTTGAAACTGGATATACTGGAGATAGGAGTTCGGTGCATCAAATACATGAAATCGGCCGAAAATGTATATGGGAGCAATATCCAAATCTGAACCAATTTCAATATAATTTGGCAAACAAATTTTTTGGACAAATTCCATCACACATTCCCAATGCACCAAATACATGAAATCGCACGAAAATATATATGGAAGCTATATCCAAATCTGAACCATTTGGCAATTTTTTGTTTTAATTTTCGTTACGCATTCTAAATTTGGAGACTGTATCTGTAATAGATCAATAGATAAGTGCATATTAAATCTAAATCTGTGGGAGGTACCTCCGATTCTGATGCTATATATCCAGTTCCAGTTGGAGACTGTATCTGTAATAGATCAATAGATAAGTGCATATTAAATCTAAATCTGTGGGAGGTACCTCCGATTCTGATGCTATATATCCAGTTCCAAGTGTAATTTCAAAAATGTATATGGTCTATGTTACTTTCAGGAAAATATGTTCAGCGGTTTTCAAGTCCATAAATTACAAACAAACATAGAAACATTTCTCTCTTTTATAGGTATAGAAAAAGAAGATGTATGTTGATTGTCAAGCAGGTCTGGTATATTATTAAGCTTTGCGGGGCTGTAACTTAATTATTGAACACATAAATCACTTGGTCCGGTTAATATGAGTCGGGGTGCTTCATCTTTAAGGCATTTGCATGGGAAAAAGTCACATATGTTCCTAATGAAAACTGGTATAAACTGTGTCACTGTAATATAAGGGTCAAAAGGGGCAATGGGTAAATATCTAAACATCACCTCATTTCACCAAAATATGTCTATAAAAACCCCCTAAGGAAATTATTGTCTTTTAATTGGTAATAACCAACATACAAATATGTATTTTTTTTTCAATTTCGTTAACTATTCACACAAAAATTAATCCTAAAAAATAGACGCACCTCTACATATTCAAAAAGTAACTCTTCAGGGAACGCGAAATACTTTCTGCCGTATATAGTTTCAAACAAATTTTCCACGACTGCTTTTGTGCGGCATTTTCAATGATCTTATCCTTGTCGTCATCTAAAACCGTACTTAGATTAAAAATACTCTCGGCCGACGAAACATCCTCTGCATTTCGGCGAGATTTCGTGGCAAAGACACCGTTGTCATAGTCATTGGAGTCATCCGTGTGAGATATTTCATTTTGTGCTACATTCAAATCATCGTCGATGTTCGTCGATTCGGTGGCAATGCCATCTACTCCTCCCTCTGTTGTTGCGACCTCAGCTGATGTGGCCGTGCTTACGATACTTTCATATATTTCGGCCAGAAGTATGAAGGGATACTCGTAGAACGAACGATTGGGATAATTTGTAACCAAGTAATTTCCCAGGCACTTGCCAAAGAGAACCTCCGGGATGTAGCGGTTATATAGCGTATAGATGTGCATGACCAATGCTCGTAGCTGGCCAAGCCACATTTTCAGGGCCCCTATGATGTCATTAACAAAGTTTGTAGCGTTTTTACTGCAAGTATAAGTTGAGATTTTACACATCGATTCTTATTCCAAATCCAGATTTGTATGATGTACTTACAAGTTTTGTAATTGTTTTATATGATCCGTTTTTAAGCTTTGCTCAAATGTCGTAGAAATTTCACGAACACCCACCAGAACATGGCGCAATCCCGTCAGAAGAGAAATCCTTGCGTTTTCTCCAAAAGTTCTAGTAAGAAAATAATTAGTTCTAATTTTATCAGGAATGCATTTTTTTGGTTTTCAATATTTACTTATTTTTTGCATCGGCCTTGACGTTCGGCAGCATCCGCTCCACCGTGCCGGCAAAGTTACCAATGCCGCGGAAAAACCATTTGATATCATCTGCCAACACTGGGTCAGACAGAGACCTGTAAATTAAGAAAAGATAGTAACAGAAATAAGAGAGTAATGACCCGAAGTACACACCTTTCTTGATGCCTTGCTGCTGGGGTGCAGTGAACAGTTTCATAAAGGCTTACTAAAACTGTCAAAAACAAAAACGTGTGGATAATAAGATTCTTCTTCATGTTATATGTCAGCAATTCCAAATAGAACTAACATGCTAAGCGTACCGAAGCGTGATATAAATACACATGCAACAGGTATGAATTTCGCACAAAGGTTAATAAAATCTACCTGTAAATCGGTACCTGCGAGTAAATTAGTATAACATCTGCCTTACAACTTCTTTAAATGGAAAACGAAATCTAAACCAAACTAATTTTACGTTTCCAAGAACTTGTATCATGGATTAAAATTAATCGATTTTAAATACCTATGACATTGTGAAATAACTCCAGCCGAACGTGCGTTGTAAATCATATTTAAATATTTTCAGTACTAACCATGAACATATTTTAAATATCCATTTCCATGTAACATATACACATATTTAACATTTTATTTATACCCTACAACACTATGTGTTGTTATACCCTACAACACTATGTGTTGGGGGTATTATAAGTTTGATTGGGCCAGAATTTATGTAACACCTCGAAATATTGGTTTCCCACATAGGAAAGTATATATGGATCTTCCTAGCTCGCCGAGCTGAGTCGATCTAGCTATGTATGTCCGTCCGTCTGTCCATGTTAATCTGTAATCACGCTACAGGTCGCAATTATGGCCCGATCCTTACGAAATTTTGCACGAAGGTGGGTTAGGGTCAGAATAGAAGCCTATTTCTTTTGGAGATGATCGCCAAATGTTTAGGGGTTGAAATGGACCAAATACCGAAAAAATGTCGGATTTTGCAGTAGGTATACAGGTCGCAATTATAGACCAATCGACGCGGAATTTCGCATGTAGTCAGAGTTTAGGGCGGGGAAGAAGCCTACCAATTTGGGTGGTCATCGGATAATATTTAGCGGGTAAAATAGACCATATCTTTTGTGTTGAAAAATTTCAAAATTTTTCATTAAACCGCGAAAATTTTAAATCCCGGCGAAATCACGAAGCCATGACAAGGTTACTTCTGACCTTTACATTGATGTTAACATCCAACAAATCGGATATATAGCAAAATATGTGCGATATATATGTCTATCAAAGAAGATATGCTTGAAAGATCTCTTATATGTCGAGAACGGCTGAACTGATTTCGACAGTTCTCATTAATTCAGAATGGCCTCCTGGCAGGAAAGGAAAAACGTCTAAAAAATCGCATAAAAATATCTCTCTAAAGATGAAAATATTGGTTTTGTAAAATTTTCTCATATTTTTTAAATTTTGTCATATTTTTGGCATATTTTCATTTTGAATTAAACATTTGGTAATATTTCTACAGCTAACAAAACTAAGTAGTTAGGATATCAGGATATCATATACAGATCGCATTTATGGTCCGATCCTTACGAAATTTTGCATGGGGATAAGATGAGGGTCAGAAAAGAAGCCTACTCTTTTTGGAGATGATCGCCATATATTTAGGGATTGAATGGACCAAAAAACTGCAAAATTGTCGGCAGGTCGTAATTATCGCCCGATCCTCACGCACATCTGAATGGGGGTTACCGGACATTGCAAAAGCCAAGCAGTTTTGGATGGCCATCCAAAAATATTCAATGTGTGAAATAGTTTGCCAACTTTTGTAGACAAAATACGAAAATGCCCATTCCAGTGAATTTTTGGAGAATTCACAAATACAGGAAAGACGCACTTCTGACTATTTCGGTAACGCTGATTTCGTTGAAGAATATAGTCAAATGCCTGTATCTCATATAGATGCGTTTCAGTCAAAAACCAATAATAAATGTTAATCTTTTGCCACTTCTGGGAGATTATAGGTCTTGGGGAAATATTTGTTCCAGATCTAGGAAGACCATTTACGTGCAACATCTACCAATAAATTGGAAATGAGCAAATTAGTTTAAGTTGCTATTATTCGAAAATTAGAGAACGGAACCTGATGGTTTTCTATTATTATTTGTCACAATATCCTGTGGAATTCTTTCGAGTATCTCGCCTATATAAACTGTATCGTTTATTATGGTGTTGTAGGGTATTCAACGGTCGGCCCCGCTCGACTGTAGCCTTTGCTTACTTGTTTTATTTTAAAAACGAACGAATGAAGTTTACGCATAGAGTTCCCGAGAACACTAGTCATGCCTCTGCCCAGAACTTATTCAGGATCTATGGAGAACTTATATTCTTGCTTACACCAACATTAGGGAATTAAGTCTTTCGCCTCCAAAGGATTATTTATCTTTTCCATCGACAACTTCAGAAAGGTTGCTGGTTCTCGGAATCAGGATAATTTATTCATGATCTCACCTATATGTGTGTACTTCATGAACGGTAACTCTGTTTTAATACCCTCTACCATAATATATATAAATATATTAGGTTTGTCATTTCCTTCGCACACCTTGAAACATAAATGTTAACCCCCTTAAAGTATTCTATATATTCTGGATCAGCATAAAATTATATGTCGATGATTTAGCGATACCGGTCCGACTTTGGAAATCAAAAACGCTTCACAACGAAATGAAGTAGTTTGATTAAATTTTACTCAGATATATTTCATGTTTGCAGAACTTACGGTATTGAAAATGGGCCAAGTTTCGGTAAATTCTCCATTTAACTGTACCGCCAAATGTAATGTGTTTTGAATGCCTTTTAATTCAATTTTAATTCAAATATAGATGGAACTTTTGGTATAGTCCCCATATAACTGTAGCTTCAGATATTCGTTATTTTGATGGTTTTAGGTACGTTTTCCAAAAGAATTATATTAAACTCGGTGTTTTAGTAATAGACAGCAACCTTTTATGTAGATAATTGGCTGAAGAGGCTGTACATCGGAATTTTTAAAATTATGGCGGCATTTTTATATGGATTCTTTACAAATGGTGGAGAGCATTAGAAGATTTTTTTAGCGATGTAGTCTTGCAGATCAAAATAATGGCTTATCACATGATCTTGCAGCACTATATATGTATCTTCATACATACTCGTATAGAAAAACAACACCGATATGAAAAAAATAATAATAAAGCAGTACTTAGCAATAGTAGAATCTGCTCGATTTTGAACGAATTTTGCTTCCATTCAAAAACGAGGAAAAATGCTCACTCATGTTCGAGCGACTATGGAAAATTGTGTTTGCTCCATTTCTGCTCTCAGGAGCGCTCCCGCTCGAATTCGGATGAATTTCACCCTTTGTTCAAATCAGAGCGAGTTTTCTGTAGGTCTGATGCTATATCACATTTTGACTAAATTCGGTAGAATAAAAAATGTATACAAACGATAATCAGCATAAAATTTCTTGTTGGTGTGTCAAAATCCGCATTGTAATGTTCTTTTAATGTTTTGAATCAAAATACACGGTTTGATTAATATTTTCTCCTTCCTTGATCAATTTGACCGGGATTGACCTTTTGTGCGAATTGGTTGATATATGGCGAGGAACTTGGAAATACCTACTAAAAAGTACGGAAATTACTAAATAGTATTAACTTTGGTACTTGGGGAAGAAATAGAGCAAGAAATCTGTATACCAGAAGTACTAAATTGCACTATATTTGGTACTATTTGGAATTATATAAACGAATAAAGAAAGAACCTTGAAATTTGATATGGGAATCAAGACTGAAAAATACTGTTGATATAAGGAGGTGATTTTGTTATATATGGAATAGTACTTGAAATCTCATAAATTCAGTTAATATAAATACCTTATTCCGCATACGAAGTAGCGGACACTTGCTAGTTTGAAAAAATATTCCAACATACACCAATTTGTTTCTCTTTGAATATGTCCTCTTTGATGCAGTAATATGCAATTTATACATCTACATCTTTTTATTTACGATTTTTTTTTAATTTATATTTAAAGGTTTATATCTTTCTTAATTTTAATGCACTTCCAAGCGCTTTAGTGACATTTTTGGTTTTCCACGAATAGTATACACATGGGGTCTATGGATAGATATGAAATGTTGTTAACAATTTACGAATAAAATGCATCTTTACACTAAATAACGAGTTTTAAATTATTTTTTATATAAGAGAACAATGACTGTTGTAACTCTTGGGAACGGCCTTCAATTTTGCGAGCGTGGACAGATTTGAAACCAGAATTTCTTTCATAACATTTGTGCCAAAAATTGTTATTTGCTCGCAATTTTTTTCAAGTTTGTAATAGAAAACTAAACCGTCCCATATGGATAGTTTAAAAAAGTTTGTTAATTCTCCCCCTTACATTTTTTCGTACTTAACAAAAACCACATGAATGTTTTGAAAAATCAACTTTCACTTTTATTTACCTTAACTAAATTTAGTAGATTACCTGATTTGAAAAAAGAAAATGACAATTACTAAACAGACACTTATAAATAACTTAACAAAACATATGATTATAAAAGTTATATTCAAATATATACTATAATTTATTTCTACAGCGACTAAGTTGATACTTTAATACGACTTAAATGAGCAAAGTTAGGAACCACTTCAGCTACCCATTCGGGCGAAATTTCCGTTACTTGTCGTAAGAAGTTCTTTTCCGTCAACACTATTTCGGAGAATAAAATATATTCTGGCCTATATTTTCCATGAAATACACTTGAGGGATGAATTTTGGCACGCTGACGACCAGTTATGGTCAAGTAGAAATTATCCCGTTGTAATTCGGCAATGTTGTCGAAAAGCCCCATTAAAAGACACTTTCGAACTTGATCGAAGTTGTCGCCGCAACTATTTATGGGCAAGTTCAAATGTTCAGCAATGTCCAGCAGTTGTTTACGTACATCACGAGCGTATGATAAATTACGGGTATTCAGGAAATTATCGTGACACCATAGCTGCAAAAAAATATATGTGTTAAAAAATATCTCTCAAAATCGTGTCAATTATCTTCATGGATTCTACCTTAATTTTTTCAGTCTTAAGGAAGGCACTAAAAACATTCAGTAGTGTTAAGTGATCACCGTGTTTGGAGTGGAATTTCGCATGGGCTAATGCCGCTTGTTCGCGTTTTTCAACACTCGAAACATAGATATTCTCACTTGAGAGAACGGCTACTAAGCTAAGCATTTCTTCCATACACCCGAACTGAGACGCTGTCAACAACAACTTACTATATTGGGGGTCTATTGGAAATCTATTCATTTTTCTTCCCAATACAGTTATTGTCGGTTTTGGAGCCACATTTTGGATGGCTCCTAAGGATTCAAGTTTTTTATAAGCAGCATCCAACGCCTCCGCTGGGGGCTTATCAAGGAATTCAAAACGTTTACAATCAAAGCCTAGTGCCAATAGTTGAAGTACCGTTGAGCACAGATTGCTACGTAAAATTTCAGGTGTTGGCATCTTCTCAAAGCTTTTCATCTCTTGCTCGGTGTAGGTACGATAACAGGTGCCTGGTGCATCTCGACCAGCCCGACCACATCGTTGCCAAGCTTGGGCTTGTGAAATTCTTACCACTCTGAGTATATCCAAACCAGTGGCGGGACTGTATATGCGACGTTTTACAAATCCAGCATCGATTACGCACCGAATACCTGGTATGGTGACAGAAGTTTCAGCAATGTTTGTGGCCAAGACTATTTTTCGTGCATTAGGAGGTGCAGGTAAAAAACACTCCAGCTGTTTATTTTGCGGTAGTTGTGCATACAAGGGAAACACACGAACTCCAGCGATTGAACTAAGGTTCGTCTGTAATAAATAAGAAACATTTAATTATACGAAACTACAAATTTTACGGGTCTACAATTAAAAATATATGGCTATGTTTTTTTTAATAAAGAGCAATAAATTACATTATTTTATAAAACTCCGCAGATACAATAGAAAAGCCAACTCTCCCAAATGTTCGTATTCAAACATTTTCGTTTTAAATTTGTTTTCCGTAAAAATGTGAAAAGTTGTCGCTTACTTCCGGACTATATTGTGTTTTAAGTATTTTCGAATTCTTCTCAACATGTATACAGATATATTTCCAATTAGCAAAACAAAAAAATTAAGAATTTAAAACAAAATATGATATATATATTTTTTTAAATTACTAATGATTGCAGATATTTTATAATCCTTAGAGATTTTCTAATGCATGTCGATCTTATTTTAGGAAACAACTGGTATTTCCAGGAGTGAAAATATCTTGACTAATGCAGACGGTTTTGTATTTTGAACACCAACTACTCTTGGTAATTTGGTCGGGCTATAATAGACAAATCTTACAGAAATATGCAATATGCGTCTGATGTCCGCGATATGCACTTTCCCAAAGGGATTGTTTGGAAAAGTTGATTGGAACCAATGCATGTAACATCATGATGTAGACAAAACAAATACTACAAATCAATACCAATCTGGAAAGTTAATGAATTTGTTTTTGCCTATCCATAAAGAGAATAAGATCAATTATAAATGTCATTCTCCCCATGATGTTGCTGGTGCAACGGCGACATATTCTACCAAAAAACTAACTTCAGCCTGGAAAAAATCTTTGCCAAATTTGGCTCATATCGGGTTTCGATATAGCAGTAAGAATTTGATAGCAAACATATTTTGTATCGTACGCTGTCTGTAATCTCTGTAAATTAATTTGCATATCCGCTTATATTTTAAATTAGATCGCGATTATTAAACTCTGTCGACTTCGCATTTACTGAAACGCCGGCCAGATATCATGACACAATCGTTTTTGTAATGTAAATGTATCTTAAAATCTATTGTTCAGGTTTGTTTCGCCGCTTTGAATGACTCATGTTCTTTATGTCACACTTTATATACAATTTCAAAAGATACTTAATTTCGGATTGTTTAATGAAACCTCTGCATGTAACATCATAATATAGACAAAACAAATACAATATCAATACCAATCTGGCAAGTTGTGTTTGTCTATCCATAAAGAGAAGTTCATTAGGAAACGATCAAATATATCTATCAAATTTTCAGCCTTATATTTCTAAAATGTTTCTCTGGTGAAATTTAAAATAGAATACCAATATAATCTCGATCTTAAAAAGAGCGTACATAACGATAGCAGCAAGTTTAAGATATTGAACTTACTTTAGCGATTTGCCTTATCTGCTGTGCCATTGCTTCTATTTCTTCCTGGCCGGTCAAAAAGATCAGAACATCATGGCTTTAAAACGAAAAGAAAACAAAGAAAAAATTACTTCTAAATCTCACACTATTTGTGTGTCGTTATTGGGAACTCACTTGGATGGCGTATTGCGATGAATTTCAAACAGTGTGACCAACGTGGCATGTAAATAGTCAGACTGACTCTCTTTGGCATGCATGACTCGAACCGGGTGAGTGCGGCCTTCCAAATACATGCCCTTCACACCGAAATATTGACCAAAATGATCGATGTCCATCGTTGCAGATGTAACAATTACCTTAAGTGGGTCTAAATTCAACAGTTTACGTTTGCGCTGGGCCATTTTTACAACTCCGAAGAGAACATCTGTGCTCACGGTACGTTCATGGGCTTCGTCAAGCATGATAACACTGTAATTTCGCAGTAGACTATCTGCTAGAGAATCTCGCAGAAGGAACCCATCGGTCATGAAGCGCAGACGTGTCTTTGGTGTAGTGCAATCCTCAAAACGAACAGTGTATCCCACAAGTTCACCCAACTGGCATTGCTGTTCCTGAGCAACTCGCTTTGCGATGGTTATGGCTGATACACGACGTGGTTGGGTCACAGCAATCATGCCCTTCTTACCAAAGCCAGCTTCCAGAAGAAACTGTGGTATCTGCGTTGTTTTTCCTGACCCTGTTTCGCCCATTATCAGCAAGGTATCCGTCTTATGTATTTCCTCCAACAATCGTTTCTTACAGCCTGTGACAGGCAACGCCTGACGTTGCTGTTCTAACTGCATTTTCGAGGGTTTGGAGGGGCTTGGCTGATGTTGTTGATGTCCATTTGCTTTGTTGGTGGCCAGTGCAGGTGCAGCTACGCCATTTGGCTTAAGAATCTTTGCATTGCCATTGTTCTCCCCACCTGGAAGCTTTCTCTTGAGTGGTATTATTCCATTCCTAATATTAGGACCAATAGTTTTCAACGGGGATTTGCTCGGAAGGGTATATTTCGACTCCATTTAGACGGAATGGAGGCTCTCGGGGCGTCGGAATTGGAAATAAACAACACGTGAAGACCGAAGATGACGAACGAAATGCGTGATAAAGATGAAGACCAAAGCAAAACAGGAATTGCTGCAGGGCTCTAGAAGATCGAAAAGATCGGTCTACAGGGTACTAGAAAGGCCATTTTCCCCCAACAAAAACAGCTGTATATTCACTGCAGGAACGAAGAAACTAATGTAGAGTATCGCGCATGGTACAATAAAAAGGTAAAGTAGAGCTACCAGCTGATTATTATTTTTTTCTATATGTGCCAATTTTTTGTATATGTGCCAATGTATGGTTTTGAAAAATGACAAACAAACAATATATTTTCAAAACCAATGATTGGAAGACATCTCGCGCATTAAAGCTACTAACCAGTTTAGCCATAAAGCATAGACAAATTAGGTATAGACTAAAAAGTTGTCTCATCTGTTATCTTCGAAAAAAGTGCTTCAATAGATGTCGTTCATGCTGTGAGAGAGGTTCAATAGACTCACTCAATTCTCTCAAAATACGAAATATTGAATATTTTTATGATTCTTTATTATTTATCAATTAAAACCGAAGCAGTGACTTTGTTTACTTTTACATTATCCAAATATGTTGTGAAATATAAAAATATAGAACTAAAATAGCAGAAAAATGAATAAATTGTTTTCGAAGTCGAGTGACTTCACTAGCCCTGAGTGACTTTACTGGCCCAAGACCAACCATAGTGACATCTGCCGGAAGGGGTAAATTTTAAAACTTTTTAGTCTATACCTTAATTTGTCTATGCATAAAGTTAATAGATTGAACAGAGAGATTCGAGAGAAAATCCAAATATTTTCATTCATTTTTCGCACTATTTAAATCATTTAAAAATGAGGAAAAATATGAAAAAAATGAAAACATAATGCATATAATTTTAAATGCGTCTAATAGGAATCGGGCATAGTCTCAGGGCTGCATTTCTGAAGCTTTACGAGGCTGTTCTACTTCCTTATTGTACCATGGTATCATGAATTGGTATACAGGTATTTCAGATAAGTATTAATTACATTCTAAGAAAATAGGGAAATGCAACTCTGACAACGAACTGTTATACCGATTTTGAAATTGAAAAGGTTGAATGAAAATGTATTAAAATTAAAAAAATGCAACTCTATACTAGACTCTTATTGTGTAAAATTGGCGTTTAAAACATGCAACAATTGGTTCTGTTTATATTAAAATTTTTACAACATTTTGATATTGGGGAAAACCTCAATAAAAAAGGTTGAGTAACTTCAAAGCAACTAGGAAAATGCAACTCTGGACTTATTGTGTCAAATAGACATATATTATTTCAGCAAGTGGTTTTATTTATTTTAATTTTTTTATAAAATGCCTATATTTGTGGAAGAACCCATGGCACAATTACAGAAGGTAGAACAAAGCTACCTCCCAAATACAATTTTTTTGTTTTGGTGCCCTTATTATGTATGTGTGTGTATTGTTTTGAATAAAAAATACAAAAAATTGAAATTATTTCAAATTTGGTTGCAAAATAAATGCAAAATTTCGACGTAAATGGGTAACAAATTGTACAATTTTGTGATAAAGCTGTATTGTCCTACTATGTTATTGTTTCGCGGGTTTTTCCCAATATAAGAATTCTGTTAAAAAAAAATAAAAATAAACAAAGCCTACTATTGCATATTTAAAAGTCTATTTGACACTATAGGACTCCAGCACAGCGTTGCAGTTTTTTTAGTTTCTTTGAAATTAATAATAATAATAAATTAATTCATTAAAATATAATATTTTTGTTTAGTTAAACTGATTCGGCGTCTTTATTGTACTTTTCTTAAGAATATGAATTGTTGAGGACCTTCACAAACAAAAAATTTCATTTTTATTAGAATAATTCATCTTTTCTTAGCAAAATTGTTCACAAAGATAGCTGACAATATAATTGAAGTAAATAAAATACATTCAGTTATAATAGTTTCATTTATTTTGGCTTAAAAATAAAAATTGCCGACTACTGGGACATGCCGAACTTAGGCACACTTTCCCTATATGCCAACTACTGGCAAATACACTTGCCGAGCATTGGAAAATGAAAGAAAGATTTCACTCAGAATGTTGAAGGATTGAAAAATCGAAAATCCTAAAAATGCCGACTACTGGTACACTTACCCTATACAAACTGTGTGTATGTTTTGACGGAGGAGGAGTTCCAAAAGAAAAAAACGTTTGTGGAAAATGAGCAAAATGAGTAATTGAACCAAGGTAGATGTACTAGGTAATCGCATCAGCCCAGCTGACGGAGAAGAAGAATTCGCCCTAAATGAATGCAACAACAAATTTGTTTATGTTGTCTTCCCTAAAAGTACCTTTTTATAATATTTCAAATAATTTAAGAGCAAGTTTAGAGTGAAACCAGTAAAAAAATTAAAAGAAAATGAAGGAAGGAGGTTAGAATGGAGTGCAGCTTTAAGAATTAAGTTAGCCTCAACATCTAAGATTCCCAAAGCACATCATGGGAAGTAGTGCAAGAATTCGACTCTTGCCATTTACAGTTACGGAAAACTTTTGGTTTAAACCAGTAAAATATAGTCATTATAAGTTTCTTGGTTTAAAAAATATCGCAATACTACAATTAATACTTATTTTATTCTTATTTGTTTTACAATAAAAACTTTTATTGCGACGTTCGTTTACGACGAGAGGCACACAAAATAAAATGTAAACAAACACCTCGTTTCTGATTGGTTGAAACAATTTTCCGCAACCTTTTAATGTCATGGCGAATCTATGTTTTTCGCCTTAGATGCCAATTTTGACATTTGAGGGTACCACAAAAGTTGCTTTGTTGTAGCAATTCGCCGATGCGGTTACCTGTTAGATCTATCTTGAATTGAACTAAATAAAGTAGATGCGAGAACTGGTTCAATGAAATTTTTAATATTATTGGGAAGACGGACATTTATGAATGAAAACTACAATGTTGAATGGCGTTTGTACATTCAAACGAAAGCACATTTTGCTTTCTCTCTCATTCGAGGTACGCATTTTGTCCACGAGTTGAAATTTCCACAGAAAACTGCAAACAAAAGAGGCAATATTTTCAAAATGTTTGTATCGGCAGAAAAAATTTTTGACAAGTGTCTCCAGCAGAATTTAAAAATAGAAAAATACAAAAATATGTTCAAAATGTCAATATTTACACAAAAAGTTGAAAACATGATTGAAAATTGTAAAATTAATGATGTCATTATTCTTTGGAAGAAAAACAATAATTTCTTCCATTCATATTAGTTTGAATTTTATGTATTTTTGTATAAATTCCCATTCAAATCAACAAACAAAATTTGTGAAAAATGGAATTATTTTACTATGAATTACGAATCGTGCCGTATGAACGGGTTAATTCGTGTACCTAATTCTGAGAGCGAACAACGTTGTTCGGTTTCCAATGGAAACATGCTATTCCTCTCGAAAACAGATTCACTTAAAGAAACAAACTGCTGAATGGCGCTAAACATATGTTAAACAGGGTGACATTGCGATATCTCTAAATATACATACGTAGTTAGTCTGTAAACGTATCGTGCCTGTTTAGAAACGAATATGTTGTGTTCCTTCATCTGCGTGAATCTTCGAGTTATTATTTATCTTATTCTTCTTCTTTCACCATTTAACGTGTTAAAACGTATGTCTGCACAACACTTTGAACTCCAAATTGATTGCTTTCTTTTATTTATTTTCTTTTTACTCTTTTTCTATTTTACAGTTACCATACTCTAAAATTATTTATAAAATCTTTAAATCTTATTTAAAATTAAATATTAGAACAAATTAAAAAATTAAATTAAAAAGATGAGCAAAAAAACAATAAATTAACACATGAAAATTATTAACATTTTTAAACAATATTTTAATTTAAATGGGCATATAAATTAAGCTTATAACATTTTAAGGAAGAATTAAATGTCTTAAGATTAAACAAAGCTACAACTACCCCTTACGTGACATCAACCATCAAAGAATATACATCGTGTACATAAATACAATTTCAGTAGTTGTATACAGACAACCAATTTGTACATTGTGTTAATTCGTAAGTGCCAACTATATTAACAGTTTATTTATTTCCATCCTTTACCAAAATAGGTTACATTCGAGTACAATTTACAAATAAAAATGCTAAAATTGAAAATTCCTTCACTTTGTATCAAGCGACACAATTGCTTTCCCACTAGATCTGGATATTTCCATAGAGAAGATTCAAAACCATTTAGAATCGGAGGTTCCTCTTAAAAATCCAGCAAGCGCTGACGTTTTCTTGAAAGATATAGAAGTGACAATTCTTCTGTTTATTATTTATACATTGTAATGCAAGAAGTCTGTGCATCAAAGTTTAATGCAAAATATTCGCTGATAAAGCAGTTTTTATTGATCTTCAGCGGAACCACCATCAAAATTATTTTTAACTAAAAATGTACCAAAATAGCACTGTTGCTATTTTTTGTTGCAAAATTATGATTAAAAAGTCTAAATTAAATTTTACAGCAATGTTGCTACCGGTATGAGTTACCGAGTTTTTTATTTTGGTCGCTAACTTGCCGAAAATGTAATCAAATTCAGAAAATATAATCACTTCAATTTTAACGATTTTTTCGGTGACTCATAAAATTAGTTAAAGAATCGCACTACTTAAGTGCCAGTGCAAAGAAAATTACTAAAATTTGAAAAATAAATCAATATTTCAATATCTTTTCAATAACAGTTGGTTTGGTTTCCTAGAACTTGCCGGACAAATCTCCTACAGTAAAACAACTATCAAAAAAGTTAAAGAATTATTAAAAACTGATTGATTTTTTACTAATTCCTTCAGAGACTGTTACGATATCAAATTACATTAAATAGTACTTCAAATTTGAACTTGAAATATGTTTCCAAAGTTCAATGCACCAGCAGCTGTGTCGATGTTGCTACCTGAATTATTTGTCATATGAAGCTAAAGGTGTGGTAGAAGTGGTATGAATATTGGTAGACGCATGGCAGAAAAATACAGGTAGATGCATCAACGCTTGGGATCATTGATATGTCAAAAAAAAAAAAACAACTTTTACAAATTAGAAC